AAGTAACTCTGTGGAACCTTCTACGTCTATAAATTTAACTTGATATTCTAACACAACTTCTTTTGAATCAAGGAATGCATTGACACACCATTTGTTCACATAGAATTCATGAGGTCTAAACAAAATTCGGGCTGGTCAAAAGGACTGCAGTGAATTTCCAAGTACACGTGACCGCCACTTAAAATATTATGAGATGGATAGAGCAAGAAGTATTACTACTGGTCAATCAGTAATAGAGTCTATGCCTGATTTTCCACAATACACGTTCCTAGTATTTCATTTCCCATCACCACTCATTCGGATTTGTTATTAGTAATCAGAATAGAGAATACCTTACCGGTTCTTCAACTTTAATACTTGAATAGAATCCGTGCCGTCGCTACACATGACACAAAATACGTCGCCAAAATACTTTGCAGCCGTTGCAGCATAAATTACTATTATTCATATGCCCGTTACATGTTAATGATAGAGAAGTGATCATCATTATATTAACAATACCCAGAAAATTAAAACTCAATCTGTTTCATGATTTTTCTAAATATTTGTTTCCCTTGAAAGCGGGAAGTAAGTCCATTCAGTGAATGTAAAAATTTGCAGGTGTTTTAACTCCTCTCTTTAAACTTTTTCTCACTTTATATTTTTTCCTGTTTCTTTCCTCTTGCATTTCAACCACATTGCTGTAGCTGAAACTTTAACCATCGCTGTAACTCAAGTCTGGACTACAACACACTCTGCTCTCTTTATCCATGAATTTTACCCTGGTGCACAAAGCTATCTCTTTGATCTCCGTTTCGCATCCTGCCGCTGCATTGCGCATATAGAATAAATGGTATCGGTCGTTTGCTGCCATGGAATCGATCATTTTTCGTTTCTTTATCTTTATAATCCAATATTTTCATTTTCATAATACGACACAATAAAGGTATTCAGTAAGTATACACATAGTCTTTCCCCGATTGTTCTTCATGCATTACGATCTATCTTGCAGCTTTGTTCAGTAATGTTTGATTTCTGGAAAATTTTAGGGGAAAAATTGGGATTTACTTCCTGATATTAAGGTTTTTTTTGCAGGTATTGGCAAAGATATCGGAATTACTTGAAATTCTAACATAATGTTATTGAAGCGTTCACAAATGCCTGTATACAAGTTGAGATTGATTCACAACACCATTTTAAAGTTATGAATTATTCAAGTTTTCAAAGACGACCTCTTATGGGGAAGATAAAAATGTCTGTAAAATAGTCCAAAATATAAAAGTTTGTTGAAATTTTGAAAATGTACGATTGAAGCAGATATAAAACGATGGTAAAAATTTCGTGACTACATTTTTTTAAAATTAAATCGTTTAAACAATATAATATTTATTCATGAAATCAAATGCAATATAATAATTTGCTATGGCTATTACTTGAACTAATTAACGTATTGAAATATTAACTGAAAATTAATTGCGATAAATATAACGAATTATAGGAAGGGTCAACTTCTGTTATGATTTGTGACCTTGGCCGGAGAATTAGTATATATAAATAGTTTCCGGCGAAGAAACGATATTCGAGAATTTATCCTAATCTCAAAATTAAGGGGAATTTCCAATATTTTAAAGGAGGACCTGAAGGAAAACGAGGGAGGGAGGTTGTAAATGATGACTCGGAGGGATCTTTATAGATTGACACTCTGTATTCCAAATTTCGTTACAAAAACATTAACACAGTAGAACATTAAACATTAAAACATTAACAGGAAACCATCCAAGCCTTTTAACTACTAATTAACTCGAGGGTGACGGTACTGCCAACTCACTTGCGGCAACGCGAAATAATATAACAAAAGAGGGGGTGAATCTAAACCTATAAAAGGAGAAAAGTTGGGGGGCCGACTGAAAAAAGTAAGAACTAATAGGGGGCTTGACTTACAACAAATAGAAATGAATGCAATAGAGGCTCACCGTTGGGAGAAATTATTACGGGGCAGGGAAATTCGTTGGAAAAGGGAATAAAAACAGGGCACTCACGGGGAATGGCGTCCTCAAGATCCTCTCAGCAGTCCTTGGGGATTTCTCCTCCTTCCTTCCTTCCGTCCTTATTCCTGGCTCCTGGGCACTGCTCCTTCCACACAATCTCGTCACCAAACTTCCTCTCCGCAAGATTTTTCGTTCTTTCCACGAAGGTCTCCTTTCTTTCCGCACAAGTTTCCTTTCTTTGAACACAAGTCTTCTTTCTTTCCACACAAGTCTTCTCCACAATAATTCCTTTTCACACCAAAATTCTCCACACAATTGTTCCTCTCCTCACAATAGTTTCTCTCCTCAGTAATTCCTCTCATTTTTAACCGGGGCAGTGACTCGTAGGGTAGCAGTGGAACGAGTAATGGGTGCCAATCATCCTGAATTCTTGTTCCCCGCTTATCTTGAATAATCGGCGGTCAATCGGGAGCACTTGGAAGATGGTCGTCTTTTTCCTTATTATTGTCCAGGGGGCTCAGCCGAGGGATGTCCTCTTCTTTCTGGATCACGTGGGGTCCTCTTCTTCTCGCTGATGAGTAAGTGCTGAGGTGAGGGGAAATAGGGACGGGGGTAAAGAATGGCTGTTAAGGCTAATATTAACGAAAACAAATATATCCATATCCCATTACGTTTCTATAGGAAGAAAAGGGAGAAGCTAAGTGAGAACAAACAACAAAAAACAAGTAGGCGACAACAATTATGTCACTGTGGAGGATTTAGCGAAATGTATAGGTATATTTTTTTGCCATCAATAAATTGATGGCGGGCTTCCGAATGATTTTAACAATATATTTTTCCTCGTCAGGTTGGATCTATTATGAATGTTAAATGGTCGTAACAATTAAGCATCTATTAGACTAAAATTCTCAAATTTAAAAAACGAATTCGATCCTGATATTCTGAGCTATATAATCATTTTACACTAAAATTTGAATATCTATAAAACCAATTGTTCAATTAAGCTCATTTTTCATACTATCCATTGTAGGGATAAACGGACGATTTCCTCAAAATTTGCAGTCTTAATAGCTTGATTTTTGTGCGGATGAAAGAGCCAACATCATTTTTTTTTTCAATAACATAAAAGTGTCATATAACTATGATTACTTACAGGATGCATTTTCCAGTTTTTGATTAATTTCAATAGTGCCGAGCATGACGAAAAGAATGGAATTAAAAAAAATGCGTACAACAATTTGAACTGAAAAATGAAAAAATCTAAATATCTAAAAAAGTTTGTGTGGGCAACTATATATATTTTAATTGATAATGACAGGGGACATCGAGAAAAAAATTTTCACATAAAAAAAATGAATTCGGTTCAGTCAATTTTGAGATATTCTACATAATCATTTTACACTAAAAATTGAATATCTCCGGGACTAATCAGTCAATCATGCTCATTTTCAATACCGTCCGTTGCAGTGATAAAAGGATAATCTCGTCCAAATTTGGAGTTAATAGCTCAATTTTTGCGAGGGTGAGAGTGCGTACAACAATTTAAACTGAAAAACGAAAAAATCTAAATATCTCGAAAAGTTTGTATGGGCGACTCTATATATTTTGATTGATAATGACAGGGGACATCGAGACAAAAATTTTTATATAAAAAAAAATGAATTCGGTCAAGTCCATTTAGAGATATTCCACATAATCATTTTACACTAAAAATTGAATATCTCCGGAACTAATCAGTCAATCCTACTCATTTTCAATACCATCCGTTGCAGTGATAAAAAGACAATCTCGTCAAAATTTAAAGTTGATATCTGGATATTTGAGGGGGTGAGAGTGTGTTGGAAATCCTGTCAGCTGACAGGCATTCCTTCACTCACACACGCACAGCTCACGCAACGCTCTCCCCACACACACTCAACGCCAACTCACGA